TTAAGACTTTCACGAATTAATAAAAGATGAAAGATGTTTGTGGAAGGGGTAGCAGTGATGGTGGTGGGATGGTGATGTTGGTGACACTGGAAGTCACGATGGTGGTGGGTGTGATCATGGTGATGATGTAGTAGCTGTGGTGGTGATGGTGCCATAGGAGAATATTTCAGAGGGCTTCTAGTCTAGGGATGGAATCACTGCTCACAGGTATGTCTGCCCCACTGGATGCTGTCCACAAGCTCTCTAGGTGGCCCAAGCCATCCTCCCCATGTCTAACATTATGAGATTTGTTTTATTATCTATGAGACATTTCACTATGTGACTCAGGCTAGCCTTGAGCGCTCAATCCTGCCTCAGTTTCCCACATACTAGGATTACAAGCTTATGTTATAAACCTTGTAAAATCTTTATAAAGATGGTTTTTTAACTTATTTTATGTGTCCAAGTGTTTGCCTGCATATATGACTACTGTACCACATGCATCCTGGTAACCACAAAGGCCAGAAGAGGGTGCTGGATCTCCTGGCACTGTAGTTAGAGAAGTTTATCAGCTGCCATGTGGGTGCTGAGACTCAAACCTGGTCCTCTGGAAGAGTAGCTCTTAACCAGTGAGCATTTTCCCGGGCTCCTTTATTTTAACGATGTTTATTATTTAGCCATTTATCCCAGCACTCACAAGGCAGATCTCTGAGTTCAAGACCAGCCTGGTCTACAGAGAGGGTTCCAGGACAACCTGAGCAATGTTACACAGAGAAACCCTGTCTCAAAAAAAAAAAAAGTGTATTTTTTAACTAAGTATGTCTGTGTGTGGGCAGGTGCCTGCAGCACTCAGATGAGGGCATCAGATTCCCTGGAGCTGACAGTTGTGAGCAGCCACGTGGGTGCTGGGAACTGAACTTGGGTCCTCTGCAAAGCCAGCAGGTGCTCTCGACACTGAGCTGTCTCTCCTGCCCTCTGGGAAACATATTGTGCTCCACCGCAGCTTTACCTTTTTATTGTATTTATTGTGTATAAGATATGTGTGTGTGCAGAATGCAAGGGCCATGGCATGTATGTGAAGGTCAGAGGATAACTTTAGGGAGTCAGTTCTTCCACCTCTCCTTCGGGGTTCAAACTTCACTTGTCAGATTCAGTAGCACCCACTTTGACCTGCTGAGCCCCTTTCTAGCTCGAATACTCATTTTCCCCATGGCTGGCAGGCTGGCTGTCCGCCGATGTCACCAGCATATCACACCCTTTCTCCCTTTGCAAAGCTGCCGTTTTTATTTATGTGTGGCTGTTTTTCCTGTTCACGTGTGTGCACCATGTGTGTAGTGCTGGTGTTTTGCCTGTTCGTGTGTGTGCACCATATGTGTGTGCACCATATGTGTGCAGTGCTGGTCTTTTTCCTGTTCATGTGTGTGCACCATGTGTGTGCTGTGCTGGTGGAGTCCAGAGGAGGGCATGTGATACCCTGGATCTGGAGTTCCAGACTCTTGATAACAGCCACGTGGACAGTGGGGATTGAACCCAGGGCCTCTGGAAGAACAGTCAGTGCTCTTAACTACTGAACCATCCCTCCAGCCTGCCTCGCATCCTTTCTTAAAGCCATTTTCTTCACTTATTTGAAGTTACTCTACCCTAACAAAGTGTTTCAAACATTAAGAATAAAGACATCACAACTATAAACATATGTAAGTTAAACAACAAAGGCCCAGAATGTATGAAGCAACCTGAGGAGAGACGGGAACGAGACAGCGCTATAAGAGTAACTGGAAACTTCCACAGACCACTTCGTTAATGGATAGAGGAGCTAATGAAAGAGCAGTAAATGGGGCTGGAAGATGGCTCAGCAGTTAAGAAAATGTACTTCTTAAACCCGCATAATTCCTAACTACTTTCTAAGTATTTCTCCTTATAGATAAGACAGGTCTCACCCCTCATTAAGAACATCAAGCAACAGATGGAGGCCATTACAGAAAAACCACAACCATCAAAAGGCAGAGAACTCGTGACCCTGTGGTGCCCAGTGGGGGCCTCGGATTCCCTGAACTGAGCACCACTGAAATCTACAACTCCTATCCCTAAGTCCAATGACTGCGGAAAAACGGCTCCCATAGGCTCATGGAGGTGGCACTGTTTGAAAGGATCAGGGTGGGTGGCCTGGGAGGAAGTGTTGTCACTGGGCATGGGCTTTGACTCTGCCTGCTGCCTGCAGATCCAGATGTAGAACTCTCAGCACCTTCTCCAGCACTGTGTCTGCCTGTGTTTTGCCATAACGATAATGGACTAAACCTCTGAACCTGTAAGCCATTCTCAATTCAATGTTTTCCTTATAAGAGCTGGTGTGGTCACGGTTTTCCTAAGACACAGCAGAAAGGTTGTAATGGCCAGAAGACCCTAAGTTTGCTGTGTGGTTGCATCTCCTAGAAATGTCAGATTAGTTCTATCTGTCAGGCCTCATCAACATGGCCTAAACAATACCAGGACAAGGACACACCAATAGACACGTTAACATGGAATGGGAAAATCTTAGGGCCTCGACCCTGAATAAAGAGCTACAGGCAACTAAAAGGTGCTGAGCTGGAAAAGAAATCTTGCCAAGCAAAGGCACTTGAAAGCAGCCCTGCGGCCCGGCCCGTGTCTTGCTCAGTCCTCACTCCCCAAGCAGAGGAGCCTAAAGTCAGTTTCTCTCTCCTCCCACCTCTCTCCATCCCTCCTCTCTCTCTCCATCCCTCTCCCTCCCCCATCCCATTGGCCCATTGTTTCAAGACAAGGAGGGAGAAGAGTGCGACTGGAAAGCTCTGTCACCTAGCAGGGTAACACACATCTGGAAGGCTCAGCACGGCACAAACCTACCCTTGACCAACCGTGTGCCTCAGCAGCCCTAGGACTATAGCCCACTCCTGCAGTTTCCTAAAGAACTCCCTCTCTGGTGGGCCCAAGGCTTGTGCTGGCCCTTCTGTGGCCAATGACAAGGTAAGAAATTTCTCCACCTATGACATCTTTGGGAACAATTAATCCACTTACTTTTCCCAACAGCTCTAAGAACTAATCAATTACCCATCTCACTCAGCACAAAGCTCAAGTGTGCCCAGCACTGGCTTCAACCCACACTCCTCCTTTCCCTCCATGACTGCCTCATCTGATTTTCCAGCAGATGAGCTAAGAGCAACATGGACCAGCATTACCTCAGCTCCAGAGGACGGAGCAGCATGGACCAGGACTACCTCAGCTCCAGAGAGGACAGAGCAGCATGGACCAGGACTACCTCAGCTCCAGAGGACGGAGCAGCATGGACCAGGACTACCTCAGCTTCCATGAGGATGGGACATTTAAGTCAGCCCTTGAGATACCTCTCTTCCTCCCAAGAAACAGACATGAATGTATTGACTTCTCCCTAAGATTGAAAATGGGAGGCCTGAGCCTGGAGGCCAGATCTAGCGGGGGAATCCAGCACAGGCCCTGTGACTCCAAGGCACACTGTAGCTCCCACCCAAGGGTGCTATCTCCCTGGGGAGCCTCAGGTGCACCACATATGCACCAGGAAGTGCGGCACAAAAGAAGGGTGACAGGTGTGTCAGGACATGAGTCAGCAGAAGACAGTGTCTCTGGAGTTCTCTACTAGGTTTCACTACAAAAGTACTAGGGCGACAGATGGCTCTGTGAGCAGGGGCCTTAAAGGCCTTTCGTGAGCAGGCGATAAACATGCCTGGGCTCCAACAGGGTTGCAGGAGCACTAGGCTTAGGGCTCATCAGGTAGAAACTGCTGCTTGCCCCAGATCAGACCTCAGCAACATAAACGGCAGGCCACCACCACAGAAGGCTAAAGACCTGTCAGTATGGCCCCCACTCTGACCCCAACATCTCCCCTCCTAAGAAAGTTAGACCGCAAATGAACAGAGCCCGAGTTAAGGACTGTGACATTGTGAATCTGGCTGAAGTTCTGCCCCGGCAGGCTACACAAATCTCAACTGCTTCATGGGGATCCCAGAATGGGTACAAGCTGCTGCAGCATCAAACCCGGTGGAAAACTGAAGTGCAGCCTCCTCAACACACCTGTCACATCCAAACACCACGGAGGCCTCACCATCAGCGGGCTCTATCTTCCCAGAGGGCTGTGCAGGTGTCACCCTGCAGGCTGGTTCCTACCCACCCTGCAGGCAGGTGTGTCCTCACTGCTAGCGCAGGAGACCAGGTGTCAACTATACAATCCTGGGAGGAGCCAGGGGCTGCTTTGCTCCTAATTCCTCAGATACTGTAATTTAAATAAGGGTTAAAGGAATGTGGGAACTGCCCAGGCTGGGGGTGGGGAAAGCAACAGCCATTTCCTGGTCAAGCAGTCTGTGGAACAATCCACAGGAGCAGCCCTCACCCCAAAGATACCCTAGCCAAGCCAGGCATGGCGACACATGCAAGATCTTGTCTCAAAACATGAAAGACAGACAGACATATCAAGACAGGCCTGCCCACAGACAAACACCATTTCCTCCTACCTGACAAGTTTTACCACGTGCCTCTTCAGCTAACAAAGAGAGAAGTCATGCAGGGCCAACCCTGGTGGCCAGTCTGGATCCACCAGTGCTGAGGTTCAAATGTGGATCATGGGTCCCTCACCCAGCAGCTCAGGCGCCTGTCTGACCCCAGCATGACCTGGTACTCCCAAAGTCGGAAGCTACTGCAGGCAGCACCTTTAGCACCTACCAACACCAGGAGGTTCCTGGGAAGCCCAGATCTGCCACCAGGGACACAGACAAGGAGCCCACGCAGGGAAACCCTGCACTGACCTGCACCTGCAAGCCTTTTTCGCCATCCCAGTTTGCTGGTGTTAGCAGACGTCAGCACCCAGTGACAACCTGGGCCTAAGGAAGTATTCAGAATGTAAGTGGATCCTAGAGGCAGAGTTCCTAGGCTGAACAGGCCTCGCAACAACTGGCTGGGGCTCACTTCCTCCCAGCACAGGCCTGCTGTAACCACCAAAAGTCAGTACTATAATAAACACACTGATAAAAGCACAGATTTATACCTTTGCCATTTATTTCTTAAAATCTTATTCAAAATATTAAATAATACAATTTCAAATATGAAAAAAACTACTGCAATAAAACAGTCCAGGTACATTTCACTACGCTGCCCATCCTTCGGACAGTCACCTGTCCTGAAGGGGAGGACAGCGCTGCTGCTTCTGTGCTCACACAGGCAGCGTGGCTGCTGGCTCGCCTGGGCTCTGCAGAACATACAGTGAAGGCTATGCTTTCTGGAGAGTTGCAGTGAAGCTCGGTAGTCAACCATGGTTCAAATCACACATTTACATTCTGACCAACTCTAAAAGACAGGCTAACATGAAACACATAAAGAATTCCAGTTTGGGGGGGGGGCAACATAATAAAACACGGCAGGGAGTCTGAATGTCACTGCTATATTCAGATTATCACGTTAACTGCAGGCACCATTTAAGTGATAATGGTCTCTAAAGTCTCTTCAAATTTACTGTGCAGCAAAAAACAAACTGAAAAAACTCTGACTGGAGTTTTAAACTCTGCTCATCGCCTGAACCCTTGGAACCTGGGCTGAAATCAAATGCTTGACTGACTGTTCTCCCAGCTTCCCCTGAAGCGCCATCCAGCAGCCCTAGCCAATGGCTGATATCACCTATCACCTGGCTGCCTTCACTGGGAACTGCAGGCCATTTTGCAGGGATTCCTAACCAGCTTAATGTGTGGTGAGTGAAACAGCGGCCACGTCATCTTACACTGTCTCAAGTGCCAAAAAACATCCAAAGCGGGTTTCTTCTTAATAATTACATTTATTTACTATGTGTGTATAAGCATGTGTGTAGGTGCACGAATGCCATGCACACATGTGGAGGTCAGAGAACAACTGCAAGAATTCACTCTGTCCTTCTACCATGCAGGTCCTGGGGACTGAACCCGGGCTGTCAGGCTTGGCGGCAGGCGCCCTCACTGACTGAGCCTGCCTTGCCATCCATCTTTCAAAGCAGTTTGGAAAGAGTGGCAAACATGTTGCTGTAAAACAAAGCAATATATCATGATATCCTTGTATAATAAAGTTTGTACCACACACAAACAGAAATATGTTTGAAAATAGGCTATCTGGAAGTGGGTGGGGCAGCCACACCTGTAGTACCAGCATCTGAGAATCCAACGACCAACTGTTCGAGGCCAGCCTAGGCTGTTCAGTAAGACCCCATCTCAAAATTAGAAACAGAATAATAGAAAGAGGAAAACCAGCATTTGGACAGCAGCGAGTGATTAAAAACAGCAGTGCTGGGCCCCATGAGACTTTAGTTCTGGTTTGGGGTCTTTCAAAGGGAACAGTGCTGCCAGAGGCGCGATAAATGGAAAATAATAACTACTACAAAAAATATACAATAAGGTTTAACTCACACTTCAGATACCTGATTGAATCTAGCTCTAAAGAACCAATTAAAAAATTATATATTCCACGGGCGGTGATGGCGCACGCCTTTAATCCCAGCACTCGGGAGGCAGAGGCAGGCGGATCTCTGTGAGTTCAAGACCAGCCTGGTCTACAAGAGCTAGTTCCAGGACAGGCTCCAAAACCACAGAGAAACCCTGTCTAGAAAAAAACAAAAAAAAAAATTATATTCCTTGTTTGTGACATTTAGTTCCCAAAGCACCAAGGCAAAAGAGAGGGCCCCCTCTTGGTTAAGCGCCACTTGCTTGTGACAGAATTTGCAGGACATCATATAAAAGTCAAGCAAATAAAATGACAGAAGAAGCAGACTCCAATCACAGTGCTTTAGAAAATATAATCATTGGTGATCTTCAGAGAAGGCATGGCCTCATTCACATTCTGGTCTAAACGACGGTACTCCACTGTTTTAGAACACAAGCCATCACGCCACTTCCTGCTTTGAACCAGAAGGAAGATCTGAAATAAAACAAAGCAATTAGACATGCCAAAGAGAAAACTTATCTGGTAGTGGTTTTGTAACAAGAGCAGGATCTTGATTAGGCTTTGGGACACAAAACTAATTATCACAATAATAAAATGACACCTGTTTCCAGCCTGTGAACAAGGCTGCATGATGCTTCTCAGTGGGCACGGGGTGGAGACCAGGAGACTACCTGCCCCCCAAGTGCCAGCACACAGCTCAGGTCAGTTAAGAAGGGACTCCAGGGTTTGTCTGCTGCCTTCTGTCACTGGGTCACCAACACTCAGAGCTGAAAGACATTCTGAAATTAACTGGTCCATGTTGTAATTTTTCAGGTAAGAAAATTAATGCCTCAACGAGGAAGACAGACAGCTTGAGTCACAAGGCAAGTCACAAGAACCACGCTCTCGAGAGGATCATATATTGAGAAAGCTGTGCCTGAACTCCTCTAGCATTCTGAAAGGCGCATCACCTCCATTAGCTTATGCCTAGTTTATTAGGTTACTCCTTAACCCAGGAAAGCAATTCCAGCACAGACATGGTCATCATGAACCAAAACTTGGAATCATCTAACTGTCCAATAGGATCAGAGCATAATCAATTATGCAAATATAAAACTATATTTTTAAATAGTATGTTATGGTGCCTAAGTGGACAGGGAAACCTAATGAGACCTCAACCCTACACAAAGAAATACAGGCAACTAAGAAATGTTGAGAACTGGTAAGAGCACACCAATTGCTTATTCAATACTAAACAGTCAGCTCTGAAAACATATACAAGTCAGGCAGTGGCACCTCTTCAATCCCAGCACTCGGGAGGCAGAGACAGGCGGATCTCTGTGAGTTCAAGGCCAACCTGCTCTACACAGTGAGTTCCAGGACAGCCAGGGCTACACAGAGAAACCCTGTCTTGAGAAAGAAAAAAAAAATTACAGCATACATGTATATGTATATTTGTGGACCAGAAATACACTAAAATGTATTTTAATGCTCTGAGTAGCAGCTTAAATTTTTTTTTCCCCTAAAGTCTTCAGATTTCTGAATTTTCTACATTAAACATATTGTTCTGGGCATCCGGGGTTTTTTTTATGGCCAGATCCATTTATTTATTTAACTTACTTAATTACTTATTGCCAGAACCTCTGGAACTGGAGTTACAGGTTATGAACCTGTGGGTGGTGGGAATAGAAACCTAGTCCTCTGACCAATGCTCTTAATCACCGAGCCATCTCGCCATCCCTGGTTGTGTGTTTAGTTTGGAGACACACAGTTTTGCATACTCTAGTTTGGCCTTGAACAACAGTGGTCCACCTGCCTCTACCTCTACCTCCCAAGTGTCAAGATGCCAAAATTACAAGCATGTACCTACCACTACACCTGGCTATACATAAAGACCTTTTATTTCCTCCTTTTTTGGTGGAGGGGGGAGCATGAGGGGCATGGTCTTAAATATATATCCCAAACTAGCCTGATCCTCAATATGCAGTCAGAGATGACAATGACTAGCCTTGAATCCCTGATCCTCCTGATTTTCCTGTTACTACAGAAGTGTGCTGTCATCACAGGTTTATGTAGTGCTAGGAAGTGAGCCCAGGGCTTCATGGATGCTAAGAAAGCACTCCTATCAATGGGGCCACATCCTCAGCCCAATCCTCGTACAACCAGAAAATAACATTACTGTCAAATCATTGTCAATACATAATAAATTAAAAGGAGCATTCAATTAGTATTCACGCCCCACAAGTATTCCCACCAAACTATCATTACTAAATTAAGAAATGCAGATGAGGAGTGCATGCCTTTGACCCCAGGACTTGGAAGGGAGACAGAGACAGGTGGACCTTTGAGTTCAAAGGTCAGCTTGATCTATACAGTGAATACCATACAGCCAGGGCTATATAGTAAGACCCTGTCTGAAAAATAAGTAACTTGCTAGACTTTGGCTTCATTCATTATGGGGGAAAAACAAGTAATTTCCTAGAAGCACATGGAGCATATCCCCACTGTCTAATGTACCAGAGTCACAGCTTCAATAGAAACACTACCATTTTATCACCACGGTCAACCCAACTGAAAGGATATACACAGTATGGCTGAGACAATGGAGCACTACAGAAGGGGCTAAAATCCCAACTTACCTTCCTTTTGTTGTGGTACGTTACATAAACAACAGCTGCACAGAAAGCAAAAATAAGGAGATGGAAAAAGAAATGGCTATCTTCTCTGTTTGGGGGCGGGAGCTTCACCACCTTCACTGAGTCCTCAAAGCCCCTGAAGTGCCTGTCCTCTCTGCTTATCTCTATGTTTATATTATCATCAGGCTCCTCGTCCCTGGGGTTGGTGGTCCAGTCGTAGTCTGGCTCTCCATAGTCCCCATTGTCCAGAGTGTCTTTGGCTGTGGACGGGGAACTGTTGAGCGCCAGAAGATCCTCCTCCTCCATGCTGGGATCTTCATTGCTATCAGCCTCGTCCTGGGACACAGAAGGAGCAGTGGAGAGGATGGGTGCCACAGAGGTGCCTCCATTTTTCTGTGTACTGGCTGGCGGAGGAGAAGTGGTGCTGATCTGGGAAACAGAAGGTTCGGTGCTGTTTCCAGCTGTCAGTGCAGCTGGAGGAGAAGCAGTGGGGCTGTGTGGCATGTTCTCTGCAGTATCTGAAAAACAAAAGCACCCCAACATTGCCAACTTTTTCTCTCTAGTAAGAGAAAACAGCATTTATCAATTTTTTTACTAAGCATTTCTCTTCAGTATAATAAATTCCTGCAGCTTTCTCTTAAGATCCAGTGAAGTCTCAATGACCAGCATTCAATTACATTTCTTCTTGGTCAATTAATCTCAGGTAATAATTGTTTTGCTCAGTAACAAATTGAACAAAGCAAAAAACTCATTGCTTTGCTACTCAAAGAGCAAGCGAACATTTGATTTCAGGTCAGGCAAAGTCAGCACAGACAACCTACTGTTTCCCTTTACCAAAGAATGGATTTCAGCCAGTCTTGTCCAGACTCCACTTCACCCCCACAGCAGAAAGAGGGGAGGCTAATCCTAGGTCAAGTGAGTCACAGAAATCACCTACTACTACTACACACACACACACACACACACACACACACACACACACGTACACACACACGCACACACAAGCTAGAACTAAGCACACTATGAGACAGGTACTTAGAAACTGCTTTTGCTAAAAATTGGCCCCTCAACTGGAGAAAGTGACCACGCTTAAAAGTCTTCATTTCTCTGTGTCCTGCTTCCCTCTGCAGGCAAGACGAGCACTCAGGACACATCTGTCTAGTCTGCATCATCCCCTTTCAAGGCTGCAAGCAGAGAAATAAGTTGCTGCCCTAACCCTGCAGGCACGCAAGTCTGCTGAGCAGACCCTCCAAGGACAGAGCAGTTGCCCACTGGAGAGACGGTGCACCCCGAAACAGAAGTGCATCCCCCAAACCACCATGTCTCCTCAAGCAATAGGATCTTCTGATCACCTTGCAAAACCAAACTAGAGACAAGAATCCCAGGCCACACCCTGAACAGGATGCTCAGTTATGCGCAATCTGCCCCCTCCCTGCCCCATGCATAAACTTAAAAGGTTTTAGGATCCCAAAAAGAGGACTTTGGGGTCACTGTGCCCCTTTCTTGGTTTCTACCTCTTCCCAGTATGGCCACATTAATTCTCTGCTTTTCACCAGTCCTTGATCTAACTTGCATATTGGGGATAGGTGGCAGAGCCTAGTTTGCCAGGGCAGCCAGAGTCCAGGCTTTTACTCTAAAAATTCCTGTTTCAAGCACATAACCAGCACACAAGGTTACAGACTCGTTGTTGACAGCATTTCTAAGTCATACTTGAAGATTCTTCAAAAAAAAATAAAAATAAAAAATAAATAAAATTTAAAAAATTTACAAAACACCAAAATTCTAAGGGATGGGAACCTGAAACTAGAACTTGCAAGCAAAGTTACAGCCTATTTTAAAAATAAAGGCAACCTCCGGGTGGAAAATGAAGCCGAATGCTTGCACAATCTTCCAGCCTGTGCTAAACTTCCAGAAGGAACTCCTCACAGTAGAAAGAACCAATGCGGTCTAGTCCAGAGGACAGCTGTTGAAGCTAAACAGGCCAGTCTCTAGCTGAATGTCGCCTCTGCTGAAGAACTTTGGGGCCACCTTTAATTACTCTTCAAACAAACAAACATATCTTGTTATGTGTGCTCTAAACCTTCAGCCTAGGAAGACAAGTCCCAGGCCTTCACAAATATGCACACGCACAGAAAACAACTGTTCATACGAACACTGCTCTTTTAAGTAACACAGCTGACATCTACTTCGTACACAGAAAAGGGGACTGGGTCTTAATAGGACAGAAGTCTCCCAGAAAAATACTTTCTAACAACAAAAATCCTTTCAAAAGACAGTAGGATTAGGGATGTAGTCTAGTATATGTGGGGCACTAGGTTTGATTCCTAGCACCAGAAAAATAAATATTAATATAGTAAATTAGAGCCAAGCATAGCAACACACACGAGCGATGCCAGCATGGAGCAGAGGAGGCAGGAGGCTCACCTTAGTCTACACAGTTACATTGAGGGTACCCTGGGCTATATGAGACCCTGTCTCCAAAACAAACAAACAAACAAGTCAGCCTTCCTGTCTAACTCTTTGGAGGTCTCTAAAGGACCTGAGCTGGGACGGGCAGGGGTGACTACACAGAAACCCTCACTGGGCCCTGGGGAATCTCCTCAGGCATCCCTGTTGGTCTAACAGAAACCTGATTCCTTCTAAACACACTGGTCCTGCAGCCCTTCTACTCCACAGCTGGCTTCTCCCCCGCAGCCTTGCAGATTGGAGGAGGGGTGCAGCCCTCTATGCACACCATTTCCCCATTCTTCTCCGGAAAATGGGGCACACATCTCCCTATCACCAACTCCTAGAAGGCCCCTCATTCTAAGACTTTAGCTGCTAATTACAGGGTCCTCACTCAGCCAAAGAGCTCCTATCTGGATTTCAAAATCCACAACCTCTCTTCTGCTGAGTCAGCCCAACCTACCCCAGGGCCTCTGGGCCCACCATGACCAGCTCTCCCCCACACCCTCTGCAGCACGCTGCTTCCAGGAATGCTGGTGGCTTTCTGATTCATTCGCTGGTCTTCTCAATCCATTAAGGCTTAAACACCCACCCTCCCTTTTTCAGCACCTGGTGGCCACCACCAAATCTTACCGATAAAATCTCTTCTCCTAACGGTTCAGTGCTGTGGCCAATGCCCAGTTGCCTTCATGCTCACACACTGCCTCACTCATCTGGCAAGAGCGTCTGTCCCCAAGTGCACCACGTAGCTGCCCACAGCTTTCATTTCATCTGAAATTCAATGTGGAAGCTTCTACACTGTACTTAACACTAAGTGCTTATTCTGTAATTTCCTAGTCCATTTCCTTCCTGCTCCCTGAAGCGTCCTCACACCTCCAACACCTTCTCTGGTACTCCCCACCCCATCCCCACCCCTTCACCCGGTGACAACCACTGTCTAACTTCTCTCAGAAAAATGATCATCCGAAGAGAACTTCCACAAACCAGCAGAACGCTGTTCATTCAGGCTCTACAGGTAAGCAGCCTCCTCTGCCACACGTTCCTCCACGCTCCAGCTCACCACAGAGCAGCAGCGATGCACCAGGCATCCACAGACGGAACCCTCTGAAATAACAGGCACTAACCCTGCCTCCTGTCAAGTCTCCTCAGGTTCTCTACCCCAGCAACAGTAAGGAATGATGGACCCAGCTGTGTGAGACAAGGTCCTGGGTTCAACCCCCAACACTCACAGAAGTTAGGAAGAGCACATGGGGGAGCTGCTGCTGTTTACGCTGCAAGACCGACAAGATGTATAAAGTCCACCAGTGTAATCCACACACTATCGAGCCAGAGGAACCCACAGGGAACTTTTACACCTTAAACAAAAATTAACTAGGCATAAGTCATGCAAAATATAAAAAAATTAAAGGATAAAACTAGAAAAAGACAAAGCAGAAAAGTCTTTGATATCTGGAGCTGGGAAAGGAGTTCTTAAATTTCACCTAGAAAGAGAAAGCACAATGCATTAAAGGGAAAACTGGCAACTGCTAGTCTCCAAAAGACAAAATTCTTGTTCTGTCAGAGTCTCACAAGATAAAAAGACAGCTACTTGCAAGTCCCATACCCAACAAAGTATGTGTTCCTAAAATAAAGAACTCTCAGAATTCAAAAGTGAAGGAAGCAAACTAATCCAACTAGAACAAAAGACATGGTGGAAACTGAGAACCCTGAGTTCCTCTGGCCTCCATTCACACTCTGGCACCCCACCCCACCCTACAAACACACACACACACAAGTAAATAAATGCCTATACCTAGCACCAAGCATAAGAGTTGAAGGTTTTCACTTCCATGCAATGGCTAGTCCAAGCCACCATCCTCTCAGCTTTGCAAGTGACCAGCCTATCTCCACTCCAACCCCACTGCCATCCTGTAGAAACTTACACAAGTTTCTACACATTCTTCTATTTAAAACTTCCTTTAGCGGGCTCGAGAGATGGCTCGGAGGTTAAGGTGACACACTGCTTTCCAGAGAAACAGATTTCTGTTCCCAACACCCATACAGGGTGGCTCACAACCACCTGCAACTCAACAACGCTCTGCCCTCGGCTGACACCCACCACACATGTCCATAGACAGCAGGCAGGCCTAGAGACTAACAGTACACAATTTTTTTCTAAGCCTTTAAGCTCCCATTTCTTGAAAATGCCAGTCTTAGTAACTGTCCACAAGATCCGATCTGAGGGACAGAGAAGTGGCTGAGCAAGTAAGGGAGTCTGTACTTTAGAACTCACACAGTGGAAGCAAGGACTCCTCAGTCCTATACACATACAGAGAGAGAGAGAGAGAGAGAGAGAGAGAAAGAGAGAGAGAGAGAGAGAGAGATAGAACACCAACAACCTGATCTTCGGAACTTTGGCCACTTCCTAATCTCCCTAACTGCTCCCCATACCATCTTCTGAAAAGGTCACACCACTCAAAGAACAAACACTAACCACACTCACATCCGACCTGATCTCCTCACAATGCACACTACACCCTAAAGAGCATCTCTACACCACTGTGCCTCCTCAAAGGCCCTTCCCTCAATCCGTCAGGCGGGCTCCCTCCTCATTGGTGAATGCCTACACCTACGCACCCAGGAAGCCAGGACATAAAATGTGGAAGAAACACACCAGTAGAGCACAGAAAAACAAGCCAAGGTTTTACCTGGACCACCTGATGCAAAGATGAGTTGATCTAGTCAGATAAAGAGAACTCAGGACCAGGGAAGTCAGACAGCTCCGACTTCACGGACTTCATGTCTGAGCTTCACAAACACAGATATCACTGAGAGTCGGCTAAATGTCCCTTCTGGACCCCATCCAAATTGGTACTGCCCCTAGTTTAAAGGCAACAGGTGTAGGCATGTGTGAGACACACACACACACAAGCTTAGGAGTGGGGGGGTGGTTTGTGTGACACACACCTAGGTGCAGCCCACAGAGGCCAGGGGTGTCAGATCCCTCCTGGAGCTGCCGTTAGATGATTAAATAATCAAAGCAATTACGTCTGCATCCACCGGGAAATCCTCATTATATTCTACAACGATAGAAGAGCCCTGGAAAGGCCAGTTCTTCCCCACAAACTCCAAAATCCTCCTGGTAGGACAGTCGGTTACCTGTCTTCAGTGTTGCTGAGGAAAACTGTGTATGCAACCTAGCACTAAAATAAAGGAATCAGTGATTGGCTGGACCGTTCCCCTTGGCAAAGAAAACTATCGCTGGTCATGCTATTTTTCATCTGAAGAAAAAAAACAAAAAACTCAACAAGGATTTGGGGAGAGAAGGATGGCAGCTTGGACGGAATGAAAAACATAACTACTCAAATGTTGCTTAACTATTAAGTTCTCAACAGTAGGGTTTTCCCACTAAATCTCAGCCAGAGTTTACAGATTTCCTTTTCAATAAAGGCTTTAATATCCTGATTTATGGTGTAACATCTGCAAAAACTTCTGTCTCAAATACTACAGATCCATTAGAATGAGGCAAAGGTGTTCTAGTTAAATCTCAAGGCCAGGAGGTATCACTACTGACAAAGACTGTCCTTTGTTTCTAAACTCCGCTCCTCCTCCCAAGACCCTCAGCAGTCCAGAGCCCCTGGACTCCGCCTGTCAACCGCCCCAGAACCACCCAGAGATGGAACCCACAAATAGTTGCCCCCTCTTCCACTCTGAAATAATCAGTTCAGTCCGGGCACTGGGTCACTGACGCTATCTTATCTCTGACCTCACCTTTTCCAGGAGAAAACAAAACAAAACAAAAACTTGCCTAGCCTTGCTTGCCCCCCAACTTCAATCCTCTCTCTAGATGACATAGCTCTCCCCAACCCCGGCCATCACTTCAAGCTGTCTCCCAACCAATCCGCAAGACCTCCGAACGCCCCATTCTCAAGCACAGTGGGGACCTCCCGCCCCCACCCCGAGCGCTCTTCCTCCAAGGAGCGTACTCTTCGAGACTCTGTCCACGCCACGGCCACCTCCCGTCCCCGCCCACCCACTGGGGTCCCGGAATCTCACGACCCCACTTATCGGGCCTGGGGAGACCGCACTGGGAGCGCTCCAGACGCCCGGGCCCAGCTCCGGCCGCGGGAACTCCGCGGGTGAGAAGCGCCGTGAGTCGGCGGCGCTCGGTCCCCACTGAACCCGGCCCGCACCCTCGCCGCCACCCCGCGTCCATTACCAGAGCACAGGACGGGCGCGAGCAGCAACGCCAGCACCAGTGACCGCACCAGCGCTCCGAGGCCCCGGGTGCCCGGCCCGGGAAGCATCTTCTCTCGCGCAGCCCGGCTCATCCTGCCCAGGGCGGCGGCAGCCATAACGGACTCGGCCCCGAGCCTGCGCTGTTGCTAGGTTCTGCGTGGTGACGTCATGTACACGTCTGAAGGCGCGCGCCCGAAGCAGCTACGTCCCTACGTGATGACGCCGCATCCCTGAAGCTGGGGAGGACAAGAAGGTTAACCCAGGAGGATTGCAGAGGGGAGCTGAGAAAGATGGTTTATTTTCAACTGCTTCTTGTTGTTGCCATCATCGTCTTTGAGATTTATTTTAGGGGCTGGAGAGGTGGCTCATCTGTTAAGAGAGCTAACTGATCCTCCAGAGGACTTGGGTTCTTTTCCCAGCACCCATGCAACTGGTGCAGAGACACACAGGCAAAACACCCAGACAGATAGTTAAATAGGTTTTTTAAAGATTGTATGTATGGGCCTGAAAGATGGTTCAGCTGTTGAGAGCACTTGCTACTCTTGCAGAGAACTGGGTTCCCAGCACCCAGGTTAGGCAGTTCACAAATGGCCCCAATGCCAAGGGATCTGACCCCCTCTTCTGGCCTCCACAGCGCAGCCTCCTCCTACGCACTTCACGCCTAAACTAAAAATAAATCTTACTTTGCTTTTTCAAAACAGGGTTTCTCTGTATTAGGACCGCTAATGAGTTTCCTCGTTTTTTCACGCTCCATCTGTTATGAATGTTAGGTGTCAATACACGGTCTTGTCCATATCGAATGAAGCAATCTCACTGATGGAAACCATGCAGGCTAATCTTAAATAATAATAAAAAAAACTGTATAATTGCACAAACCCATTACAGTTGCATTGTGTTTTGGTCATTCAAATAGTCTTCATCTTCAAGTTCCTGACGCTTTTAGAAATGCCCTTTCTCGGCCGGCGGTGGTGGCACACGCCTTTAATCCCTGCACTCGGGAGGCAGAGGCAGGTGGATCTCAATGAGTTCCAGGCCAGCCTGGTCTACAAGAGCTAGTTCCAGGACAGGCTCCAAAGCTACAGAGAGACCCTGTCTCGAAAAATAAAAAAAAAATAAAAAAATAAAAAAAATGCCCTTTCTCAGAAAAAGAAAAACAACTGATGTACTTCCAGAAGTATTTAATAATAATTTATCAGATATTCCCAGTGATATTGAAGATGTGAATAGCTGGTTGGACGATTGTACTGACAGTGAAATTATTAGACCTGTAAGGAAGGGCAAGGTGGCCGTGCTTCCGAAAGATCCCTACACAGATGAAGCCACTGATAATTGTTGGTCAGGAATTGACACACCGCCATACTCACAGATGTGTGAAGGTCATGCTGGGGTCACTACATTTCTGTCTCAGTGTTACTCTGTACTCTCTGGGACCAATTTCTTTTTTGGTGGTGAATTGTTTGAGATGCTGTACAAAGAGCCGTTTAACTATCAGGTTCAAACTGCAATGAACACAAAACACCATCTAAAACGCTCAAGTGGTTTCCAGTTACACAGAAGAACATCAGAAAATTCCTTGGCCTAATCTGATGGATCAAACAAGAAAAGATAGTTTGAAAGACTAGGTTAATAGAGAGTCATCTTGGGGGCTGGAGAGATGGCTCAGAGGTTAAGAGCATTGCCTGCTCTTCCTAAAGGTCCTGAGTTCAATTCCCAGCAACCACATGGTGGCTCACAACCATCTGTACTGAGGTCTGGTGCCCTCTTCTGGCCTGCAGGCATACACAGAGACAGAATATTGTATACATAATAAATAAATAAATATTAAAAAAAATAGAGAGTCATCTTTAATAGTCAAGCTTGTAGTCATGTTAGTTAGATTTTCTAGATTTATAGAGATATATTTCAGTTAGATAGGTATTCTTCAAGTCTTTCAGAATATGGCATTTAAATGTTTTAATAACTTAGGACAATGAGACGCATCTGCTCCTGGCAGCACCAGCTACTTTAAGAGGAAGATGGGCATCGAAGAGACTCCTTATGGAGTTTGCTAGTCATTTGTGCAAGAAACCTCTTTTGCCTGGACTGCTTCACTGGACATGCAGGACCTGTAGAGAAATGACTACTGAACTTGCCTAAAGGTGAGATGGTCTTTCGGGGTTCCTACTTCATAAGAGTCTGTGAGACATTCTGCAGGATACAGAAGAAAGTGACTGAACTGTCTTTGAATTTTCCTACTTCATGGAAAAGTCTGCTGGATACTATGGGCCTGTAGGCTGAAGATGGATGCCCCAATGGTATAGAAGAACTTCAGGTAACTGTTCAGGCAGTGAAATGTCTCTGTCATTTCTAGAGTTTTGGAAGTTGCTTACAATGCACTTTCTGTTTACTTAGGTAATATTATATCCTTCTGGAGTCTTTGATGGAGTTAAAGAATTTATGGTTATAGTTTTCCTTAGTTATGATAAAAGATAAAGTTGATATAAATATTGTAACTGTAATTCTTGCTTGATAACTGTTTTGTTATATGTAATTTTACTATGTTAAAGTTAAAGCCTTCCTTTTTGTTTAAACAGAAAAGGGGAAATGGTGTAGCAGTTCCTTCTGTTTGTGTGTCACTTTCATTGGTTAATAAAGAAACTGCCTTGGCCTAGTTGATAGGGTGGAACTTAGGTAGGCAGAGAAGACAGAACTGAATGCTGGGAAGAAGGGCATAGTGAGAGAAGCCATGGATCTTCTGCCTGAGACAGACACTGGTTAGAATCTTGCCAGTAAGCCACAGTCATGTGGCGATACACGGATTAATAGAAATGGGTTAAATTAAAATGTAAGAATTAGCCAATAAGAAACTAGAGCTAGGGCTGGAGAGATGGCTCAGAGATTAAGAGCATTGCCTGCTCTTCCAAAGGTCCTGAGTTCAATTCCCAGCAACCACATGGTGGCTCACAACCAACTGTAATGGGGTCTGGTGCCCTCTTCTGGCCTTCAGGCATATACACAGACAGAATACTGTATACCTAATAAATAAATAAAGAAGCCGGGCGGTGGTGGCGCACGCCTTTAATCCCAGCACTTGGGAGGCAGAGGCAGGCGGATCTCTGTGAGTTCGAGGCCAGCCTGGTCTACAAGAGCTAGTGCCAGGACAGGCTCCAAAGCTACAGAGAAACCCTGTCTCGAAAAACTAAAAAAAAAAAAAAAAAAAAAAAAAAAAAAAAAAAAAAAAAAAAAAAAAGAAACTAGAGCTAATGGGCCAAGCAATGTTTTAATGAATACAGTTTCTGTGTGGTTATTTTGGGTGTAAGCTAGCCGAGTGGCAGAATAAACTAGCTGCCCCTCCTTACAACACGTTGCCCAGGGAAAAAGAAGTGAATCTAGATACTTACATAAACTGTTAAGATGGACATGGTGGTGCACATCTCTAATCCTAGCACTCGGGAGGCAGAGGCAGGCGAATCTCTGTGAGTTCGAGACCAGCCTGATCTACGACGAAGCGAGTTCCAGGACAGCCAAATATAGAGTAACCCTGTCTCAAAAAAAAAAATTTTTTTGTTTGGTCCCTCTTCATAGAGGAAAATGTTTTACGGAGTACCATACGTTAAAAAAAAATACTAGTAACTTCAATTGTTTAGTTAATTGTTTTTGTAAGTAAAAATATTATAATTATTGAAAAACAACACCTAAAGTGCACTATGATCTGTAATTATGATGATTTAAATCATGTGCAATTTGCCCAAAAATGTACCATCCCTGGTGTATGTCTTAGCTATTTCTATATGGCACTCAATGTGTCAAAGGCATGCGCCACCATGCCCAGCAAAAACTGAATGTTAAAATTGTGTGTAAGAGGCCGGAGACATGGCTCAGAGGTTAGGAGCACTGGCCACTCTTCCAGAAGTCCTGAGTTCAAGTCCCAACAACCACATGGTGGCTCACAACCATTTATAAGATCTGGTACTCACTTCTGGCCTGCAGGAATACATGCAGGCAGAACATTGTATGCATAATTAATAAATACAATCTAAAAAAATTGTGTGTAAGTGCAGGTGCCTTCAGATGCCAGAAGAGGGCGTGAGACCCCCTGAAGGGGGTGTTAGATGAGCCATGAGTGTGAACCACCCCATGTGGATGCTGAAAACCACTCCAGTATTCTTTCTTTTTTTTTTTATTTTCGAGACAGGGTTTCTCTGTAGTTTTTGGTGCCTGTCCTGGAACTAGCTCTTGTAGACCAGGCTGGCCTCGAACTCACAGAGATCCGCCTGCTTCTGCCTCCCAAGTGTTGGGATTAAAGGCGTGCGCCACTACCAGTGTTCTTAACTGCTGAATAATTTCTCCAGTACCCTTTTGTACTGGGTACAAAAAAACAAGATCTCATGTAGCCCAGGCTGGCCTCCAAATCCCTTTGTACCCAAGGATGACTTTGAACTCCTGCACCTCCACCTCCCAGGTGCTGAAATTTCAGGTATAAACCACTATCCCGGTTTATCCTTTAGTGTTTCCTCAAATATTTAACATTTCTCCATACTTAAGGGTGCATCAATAAACAAAGCAAACTCAAGCCAGCCTTTGCAGGCCTTGCTTCCCCATGAGGCACATTGTAGAATGTATAGTATGTAACGGTGCGATAGTGTTACGAAAGAAAAGCAAAAACATTGGCCAGAGTCAGAATGAAAGACTGCCATTGAGAATAGCCTCAAATTTTCCAAAAATATATTACTATCACCTTTTTTACATTTTGTAAAACAAAGCCCTCAGTATATGAAAATGTAAATTTAGAAAGTTTGCCTAGGGCCTTGGTACAGAGTGTGTCTGTGGGTACATTGTGTGACTGTCTCCTCAACAAACAGCTATAGGTTTCAATTCGTCTGTTCCACTTTATTAATTTTCAGGAAAATCGGTGTAGCATCAAGCTGTCATTTACACATAAATGCCATCTCTTCGCTTTCCAAAGAGAGCAGAGCTGCCTCTGCAGGATAGAGAAGGGCTTGTGTTCTCCCAAATCTGATATATTTGGCCCGAGGACAGCTCAAAAACAGACTCAGTGTTAGAACTAAGAAGTCAGTCCTCCCAACTCAGTCTACCCAAGTCCGTGCGCATGGAATGGAGCCCAAACCTTCCAGGTCAGCATGCAAAGGCCCTGTCCTTCCAAATGCCCCAA